TCACAGCAGCACCTGCCAGTATGAAATATAGCAGTGCAAACCACAGGGAAATGGCTAGAAACGACTCCGCACACACCACAGGCCCAGCCAGGACATGCACCTAGTCTCAGGCCATGCTCACACAAATACATCTATTTGAACATGATGTTACATGCCAGCATCTTTCAGGAATTACAGATGTTTTAAATCTAATTTTCTACATCCACAGTAAAATGCCACAACAACAGAACAGCACTTAAACCACTTGAGTCAGCAGCTGTACTCCATTTACACCAAGTATCTGTTTTCACACCCTTCTTTGCTGTTTACAGTGCAAACCAAATAGACAGTGTGCCAGCATGTGAATTCTGATTATGATGATGATGGTGATTATAATTATTAGTATTAAGCAGTTGAAGTGGTAGTCTTGTTAGCTTTGTTGTTTGGCTTTCAAAACAGCACAGTGGATGTGCAGATCAAGATGAGTAGCGGCAAAAATACCAGACTATACAGTATATTCTCTTTAGACAGGCCATCAGTATCTACTCCAATCTAAAACAGCAGCTCTTATTACACACCTGCTCTTCAAGGACATATAAATAACTACCACGCTACTGTAATGATCTATAAGCAACGGCTCAGTGGCACTGAACACATGCTTCTGTCAGATATACAAAAGCAGTCGGGCTGAAATATGAAGTTAAAAAAAACTCAAGTTATAATAGATTGATGGAGTGCTCCTATTTATTGTTATGAAACTGTAAACTAGGCCTACATATCATAATAGGCTCCCTTGTATCGCAGACGAAAACACTAAAGTACCTTGATCCTGCGCTGTGTTTGTGGTTTCTTTTTTATGGGGAAACAGGCAACAACATGCACATGGAATATAAAACAGTCTCACCAGCACATTTCTTCAAATCTGTTTGGCCTTTTATGAAATCGCTGTCCTTTCTCACACAAACGCCACATATCCAAAGTACTGCTGCACTGTTGTGGTGGTTTTGTTCAAAGCACTCTGCAGTAACAAAGCCGCAGAAAGCTACATAAGAAGTGGTCCATCCATTATCTATACCGCTTATCCTAACAAGGGTCGCGGGGTGCTGGAGCCAATCCCAGCTGACACTGGGCGAGAGGCAGGGTCCAACCTGGACAACAACAACCGCACACACTCACACTCACTCCTACAGGCAATTTAGAGTCTCCAGTCAACCTAAGCTGCATGGTTTTAGACTGCAGGAGGAAGCCAGAGCACCCGGAGAGAACCCACGCAGGCACAGGGAGAACATGCAGACTCTGCACAGAAACGCCTCGGGTCGGCCAGGCTCGAACCCGGAACATTCGCACTGTGAGACGACAGCACTAATCACTGCTCCACCATTCCACCCCCATATGAAGTGGTATCTGTGACAAATAAACCCCACAACAACCTCAGCTGTCTGAAGTGCAGCTGCTTCCCAAATCAAACTTCAAAATCTTGATCTAGTCAAAGGCTCTGTCAAACAAGTAGGGGAGCAACAGGGTAAAAATGTACCCATCAGAGCTCAGCTAATGTCACTGACTCCCAGCAGAACAGGAGAGAAGCAGACAAAAGGAAAGCAACAGCTAAGCACAGCATCATTCCTCTGACAGAGGAGCTGGAAAGATGATGCATCCTGACATACCTCCCAGTAGGCTCACTAACAAGAAAGAATGAAGCGCTAAGAAGATGCCTTTTCTGCATCATTATTGCATAATCAAAGGGCCACACCAAAAATGAGGGTCATGCCTGGGGAGAATCTGTCCCTCATTAAAGGAGTTCAGTGCACTGTCGTGTCTTCCAAATGAGCCAATTTCAGAGCGTTTTACAGGCTACAAGAAACATCTTTATTTATGGGTTTCTCAACATGTAAAACTGCTGCTGGTGTTTGTGTGAGAAAGCTGAACTGCTACACTAACAAAAACCCCTACATAAACATCTAATAGACATTTTATAACACACTGTAATGTAAATTAAAGCAGGCATAAGGTCCGTTTAATGTGTTTATTAATGTACATTACTTGTCAGCATTTATAATCTTTCCTGTGAAGACACAGTTTATATTTGCACAACTGTGTTTTACTATATTGTGATTCATCAAGTCCGTACACAGAGAGTGGTTTGCCCTGCATTTCTAATGTGACTGCCTGGTCCACTCTTGGGTCTTATATTGAATTACTGGCAAATAAGGAAATAAATTACAACCAAAATATCAATTTTAATTCCCCTTTACTCTGTGCTTTTTTTTTCTAAACTGATGATTATGCTAGTCCACACAGACATGCACAATCACATACATAAAAAACTGAAAAGCCAGGCATTTTTTCCAATAGGTTTTCCTGTCTTCCTTAATGGCCTTTCCTGATTAAAACAGCATAAAAGAGTGCCATCTGCCTCAGCGCACAGGGAAATGAATCAAAACATGCCGGAGGATGACACCTTTATTCCCTATGCAGGAAACATATCTCGTATTTTCAGAGCTGATAAAGTTCAGAGAACAACCCCCAGCGCTGTTAAGCTTGGTTGTGGATGCACGACCAAAAGAGCCATTTTACCTCAATGAACAATAGACCTTTTCATAGCGGTTAAAAGGGTCTTAATTAACTCCAACCTCTTAAAAGAAAGAAAGTACAGTGTTGGCCTTGTTACTACTATAACTGTCTATAAACAGCTGCTGGTGACACTAGCAATCTGTCATTTTCAATACATTTTACAGTAGCCTATGTTATTTTATGACAGTGTTGTATTCCACCCTTTTAATGGACCCGCTTTGCCTCAGACTGCCTCCTGATTTAATCAGTGATCTTCAACATTTGCATAGATGACTTTCGGTGACCCAGCGAATAAGAATGTGCTTGAATGTTTGGGATTAGGAAAAAAGAATGAGAGCCTTGCTAGAACAAGAGAGTCTGTGGTGGAGAAACAGGAGTTTCACATCTTATGTAAAGAGGAGATTACAAGTTACATTATGATCTACATGTATCTAGACTGTCAGCGGAGAAAACTGGCAGAACTGTCTTCTACAGTAAAGTTCACGTTGTTACAACAGGTCCTCCATATTAAACCAAAAAACTATAACTTGCTCAATTTGACATGTCTGGTTAAGATTGTGTATAAAATTACTTGTTTAGATTCAGGGAAAGATGATTTGAATTAAAACAAGTACTTATAAAATGACCTTTGATGTCAAGGCTTAGAAAAACAACACTGACTGTCAATTGGAAACAGGAAATTAGCTACACTCAGCTAAGGTTATGCATCCTGAACTACCACCATCAGTAAAGTGAGACCTAAATGATTTAGGCAAAACAAGAATGTATACAGGTAAATCTCCAAAAGCGGTACCTCCGTCCCAATTTTCAGCACAGCATGATGTACCTTCACATTGTTGATACTACTGAATCAGGGTTACATCATTAATTATATAATAACTAAACAATAAACTATTTGTTAGGGCACAATACTGACATAGTGAGTTCAGAGAATGTACTTATAGTGTCAGTGTTGACTCAAAGATTTGAGGCATGTTTTGTTCAGACTGTAGGCTTCCTAAGTACAGTGTGACACTGAAAGCTGATTTTTGTCAACTTATATTTCGGAGAAATCCTTCACTGATTTGCTACAGCAGGATCATTTTGTTCTAACTTCTAGTAAGCTGGTGAGTGTGACAGGAGGGTCTGCAGTGGCTCAGGCTTTGAAAAACAAGCTGGCTTGATCAATGAAAGACAAAAAGTTGAGGGCTTGTTGACAAAAAAATAAAGACATCATGATCTCATAATGGGAAACGTTGACACTGTGAACTCACAGATGTGTATCACGAGTGGAGTAGCAAGTGAGAAGCAAAACTAGTGCACGATGAGCGAAAGCTTTGAGGATGACAGTCTTTTATCTGTGCCAAGGCGAGCTGACAACCAACATCTTAAATCAAAAGTACAGCGAGACAGTAGTCATCTCAAGCCCCATACAAAAACCATGAGTAGTGAACCCAAACCTTACCAGTCTGCAGACCAGAGCAGTTCTCTGGATGCAATAAAGACACAGCCTGCAGCTGTAAGTGTGTGTAAACTCTGCCCTAAATACTTTTTCTTCAGTGACAATTCTAGACCATGTTAAATCCTAACCATATAACAGAGTAACACAAAACATCTAAGACAGCTGCCAAGGTTTTCATATCTCATAACATTCCCCATCCAGGGCAGACTTGGTTTCCACCATATGTGTTGAATGGTGATCACAGGGAAAATAGTGTTTTCCCCTTCTAAACAACAGGCAGATAAACAGCCTTTGTTGAAACATATTATTACCACACAAGTCCCCGTCGAAAAGTACCAGATGTCAGATAATAGGCTATGCAGAGTGAGGTAGGTGCTGGCCTGAAGCCATTAAACAAGTAAGAACAGCTATGAACCTCTTCACTTTACGTCCATGTGGGCAACCCCCTTCTACCCTGGGATGGTGTGAATTGAATACAGGTTACTCGTGAAGGATAAGTATAACTATCTCCGATGTGTAACAAACAGAATGTGTTAACTACATATTTGTGTACACGCGAGCATAATACCTGTACTATCCATTCACTGTCACAGCCAGGCATCTGTTTTAAAATCAGCTGCAAAGTCTGTTCTAGCCTGGTCTTAGTCATTTATATAGTTATTAAAACAACTCATAAATGACTATCACTAAAGACATAATGTTAAAGAAAAAACACGCAACAATGTGCTGCACACTTTGCAGCTACTGTTTACAAAGGACCAGCTCGTTGTGTCATTAAACACTGCTGGGGGTGTTTATTGGCTTAGGTGGCTGGCTGGGCTTTGGTATGAGAGGCAGATATAGACTGAATATAGGTAGAAATGGGTTAGCCTGTACTGTAGAAAGGCTGCTGCGAGAGCCTGGCCCCTCCAGCACACATTTAATAAAGGTAAAATCAAACACACTTTAAGATGTAATTAAAGAGGTGCAGCTGTGATAGCAAAACTTGTACAAGCCAAGGACAGATTACCTTCCTACACTTGAACCTTTGTTTTTCTGGCCAGCTTTGGCATCACACCCGTCAATCCCCTGCTTCTGCTGCTGTTGCTCCGGCACCGCGTCTGCTGCAGCGCTCCGTGCGGCTCCTCGCACACGATTACGCGACCAGCCCGCACGTTTCCAATCAGTTGGAAACAGCTCTGAGAGACTGACTCTGAAAATAACTGCGCCGATCAAAGCGGCTACAGTCGTTCCAAATGCAGAAGACGATCTCAGTAGCGACACCCATGGGTGTACGCAGAGCAAGCTCGGTGTGCAGCGGGCAGCGGTGGCCGGACCGACGGCTGCTTCTCCCGCTGACTCTGCCAAGTGCCGGGGCGTTCACAACATGTGTTTATGGTGCAGCCAGGGAAAGTCGGTGCCCTGTGCCACGCAGCACCGCAACATGGAGCGCTGACCTGCCTATCAATGGGTCAAGCCACACAGCTGCCATGCACGACTTCCGGCGCTAATTTCAAAGTAAAATCCTCAACAATTGCAACGTCTATAACAGTGTAAAGCGCACAAAAAGCAAAAATACACGAGTCTTTTAATGTATATGTTTATTACTTCCATGCTTTCGCTATTAATCTTGTTCTTTCTCTGAATGTTCACGCTGCTGGAATCCCAGGTGAAGAGAAGGAGCACAACGCATTCAGTGGGGGTGCAAGGCAGGCCTAATGAATTATTTATGAAGGAAGGACGCACTAATACCCAAATCATTCATAATTATTCAAGAGAAACACGGTCGATGCCAATCAAACTTCCATTCCTCTTCCCTGCAAACCATGACATCTGACATTTGAAATGATAGATGGAGAAGACGTTGCCATGTGTCAGCCATTATCCTGACCTCTTCCTCACTTAGTCAACAAATTGCATGCCTATCAGAATTACTATGATTAACTTTTGCCTACAGAAGACTTGATTGTGACACACGAGTTAAAGGTTAAAGCTGACTGACCTAAACCTGTAACCGCTATCAAACTACTACACATTGTTTACTGACAAGGTCATTTAAAGAGAAAAATGTACATTTTTGAACAAATTATATTGACTCTTCTTGCTGTTGTAAGGACTGGTGGTCATGGTTTATTTACATATATATTTTATGTACCACCATATTATGTGCTGACTCATAGCCTACTGACTATTAAGTGAATGATAATGTGTTTATCTGGCATCTTGTAGCCAGTATTCAGATGTAAATTTAAGAAACCTTCATTGCATTTGCCTCCAAATATGTACACAGTATAGGTAGTTCTTTTTCAGAGGAAAATTAGTTTATTTATTCTCAATCACTGATTTTATACTGTCCCCAACATCCTGTCAAGACACTGCATAAAGGACTTTTGGACCTGCAGTTTTTGTAACCTTTGTCCTCTTGCGTGAGGGTTGGTAGAGAGAGGCAGCAAGAACAATTAACTTTTCCCCATCCAATCAACTGCTGCTCTTCTCTATATATTGCTAAACAGTGTAAAAGGTCATTCTTTGCTGCCATATTTGGAACTTGCCAGAATGAAGACATGCCAGCATCACACACCACACACATCCAAGGTCGTAAGTGGTGTAACTAAATAAATCCTTCAGTTGGCAAACACAAATCTGCCAAAGGATATATTTGTAGCTACTTTAAAAGGTTCTGTCTCTGCAAATGGCAATGAGAAATAACTGAGGGGGGCTCTGGAAACTGGCTTTGGTGCAGGCTGACACAGTAAACATGTGTGTGTTAATGGCTATGATGGATGAGGTGGTCACAGATAGCTGTGGTTAGCCCCCCACCTCTGGAAGCACATATGCTTCCAGTGGCATTGAATCAATTTCAGACAGAACTTCCACTGTTGTCCCTGTCCTTTGCCTCTGTCTGAATATAAAGAATGAAAACAGAAAAGGTGAGCATGCATCACAGACTACAAGGGGAGCTGAGATTAATGGAGGCTAACGCAAAATTGCAAGGAGATCAGCAGAGAAGTGGGGAGCCAGAGAAGTAAGAGAGTGGCCCTGGAGCTTCTGCTAAACTACTATGGCTCAACTGTGGCTCCTCCGACACAGCTGTGTGAACAGTAGGATCTTTTAGACCAGGTTCAGATTATATGGCAACGAGAGGCAGAATGAGCCATGCTTTTGTTTTTGTACAAAATGTGTCATGAGGGAGCAGAAGTCTAGACAATTTTATGCTCTTCACAATTTTAAATTTGAGCAAACTTACTATTACATTAGTATTAAAGTGATGAAGCACTAGCCAGGGTGTCCATCAGTGCACATGGCACCAGGACACCCCAGGCCGGAGGTCAATGTTCGACTTTGTGGTTGTTTCATCTGACTTCCGGCCGTATGTCTTGGACACTCGGGTGAAGAGAGGGGCGGAGCTGTCAACTAATCACCGCCTGGTGGTGAGCTGGATCCGATGGCGGGGGAGGAAGCTGGACAGACTTGGCAGACCCAAACGTATTGTCAGGGTCTGTTGGGAACGTTTAGCAGAATCCCCTGTCAGAGAGATCTTCAACTCCCGCCTCC